GAATCGAGATCATATCATGCACACTTTCAGATCAAAATGCTATGAAACTTGAAATCAATCATAGGAAGAAGTCTGGAAAACCTCCAAAAAATTAGAGGTTAAAGAACACCTTACTAAAAAATGAATGGGCCAATCAGGCAATTAGAGAAGAAATTTAAAAATATATGGAAACAAATGAAAATGAAAACACAGCAATCCAAACTCTATGGGATACAGCAAAGGCAGTCCTAAGAGGAAACTACATTGCACGCCAGGCCTATTTCAAGAAATCAGAAAAAGTGCAAATACAAAATCTAAGAGCGGACCTAAAGGAACTAGGAGGAGAGCAACAAGAGCACCCCAAAACCAGTAGGAGATGAGAAATAATAAAAATCAGTGCAGAAATAAACAATATATAAACCAAAAAAAAAAAAAAAACAGTTGAACACATCAATGAAACCAAGAGTTGGTTTTTTGAAAAAATAAAATTGATAAACCTCTAGCCAGACTTCTCAAAAAGAATAGAGAGAGCACTCAAATAGACAAAATCAATAAATTAAAATGGACTTATTACAACCAACCTCTCAGAAATACAAGCAGTTATCAGGGGATACTATGAAAACTTATATGCCAACAAATTGGACAACTTAGAGAAAATGGACAAATTCCTAAACACACACTCACTACCAAAATTCACAGAGGAGGAGATAGAAAATCTGAATAGACCCATAACTAGTGAAGAAATTGAATCTGTTATCAAAAATCTCCCAACAAACAAGAGCCCTGGGCCAGATGGCTTCCCTGGTGAATTCTACCAGACATTTAACTCAGACTTAATACCCATTTTTCTCAAGCTATTCCAAAAAATAGAAATCGAAGGAACACTTCCAGACTCATTTTATTAAGCCAACATCACTCTGATTCCCAAGCCAGACAAAGACCCAGCAAAAAAAGAGAACTACAGGCCAATATCCTTGATGAATACAGATGCAAAAATCCTCAACAAGACACTTGCAAATCGAATCCAACAGCACATAAAAAGAATTATCCTCCAAGATCAAGTGGGATTCATTTCTGGGTTACAGGGCTGGTTCAATAGTCGCAAATCAATCAATGTGATACATCACATCAACAAAAGAAAACATGAAATGCAGAAAAAGCATTTGACAAAATACACCATCCCTTCTTAATAAAGATCCTAGAGAAATTCGTGCTAGAAGGAACTTGCTTAAACATCATAAAAGCCGTCTATAAGAAGCCCTCAGCTAACATGATCCTCAATGGGGAAAAACTGAGAGCTTTCCCCCTGAGATCAGGAACACGAGAGGGATGTCCACTCTCACCACTGTTGTTTCACATAGTGCTGGAAGTCCTAGCATCAGCAATCAGGCAACAAAAGGAAATAAAAGGCATCAGAATTGGCAAAGAAGAAGTCAAACTTTCACTTTTCGCAGATGACATGATACTCTACATAGAAAACCTGACAGACTCCACCGGAAGCCTACTAGAACTGATCCATGTATTCAGCAAAGTTGCAGGATACAAAATCAACGTACAGCAATCAGTTGCATTTTTATACACCAACAATGAAGCAACAGAAAGAGAAATCGAGAAACTGATCCCATTCACAATTGCACAAAAAACCATAAAATACCTAGGAATAAACCTAACCAAAGATATAAGAGATCTGTATGATGAAAATATAGAAAACTTATGAAGGAAATTGAAGAAGGCACAAAGAAATGGAAAAACATTCCATGCTCTTGGATCGGAAGAATAAATATAGTTAAAATGTCAATACTACCCAAAGCAATCTACACATTCAATGCAATCCCAATCAAAAATGCACCAGCATTCTTCTCAAAGCTAGAACAAACTATCCTAAAATTTGTATGGAACCACACAAGACCCCAAATAGCCAAAGTCATACTGAAGAAGGAAACCAAAATGGGAGGTATCACCATCCCAGACTTTAGCCTCTACTACAAAGCTGTAGTCATCAAGACAGTATGGTATCGGCACAAAAACAGACACATAGACCAATGGAATAGAATAGAGAACTCAGAAGTGGACCCACAAATGTATGGCCAACTAATAGAGAGTATCCAATGGAAAAAAGACAGCCTCTTCAACAGATGGTGCTGGGAGAACTGGACAGCAACATGCAGAAAAATGAAACTAGATCAATTTCTCACACCATACGCAAAAATAAACTCAAAATGGATAAAGGACCTGAATGTGAGACAGGAAACCATCAAAACCCTAGAGGAGATAGCGGGAAACAACCTCCTTGACCTCCACCGCAGCAATTTCTTACTTGACACATCCCCAAAGGCAAGGGAATCAAGAACAAGAATGAACTATTGGGACCTCATCAAGATTAAAAGCTTCTGCACGGCAAAGGAAACAATCCATAAAACTAATAGGCAACTGACAGAATGGGAAAAGATAGTTGCAAATGACATATCAGATAAAGGGCTTAAGGAACTCACCAAACTCCACACCCAAAAAGCAAATAATACAGTGAAGAAATGGGCAGAAGATATGAACAGACACTTCTCCAAAAAGGACATCCAGATGGCCAAGAGACACATGAAACGATGCTCAGCATCCCTCCTCATCAGGGAAATACAAATCAAAACCACACTGACATACCACCTCACGCCAGTCAGAGTGGCTAAAATGAACAAATCAGGAGACTATAGATGCTGGTGAGGATGTGGAGAAACGGGCCCCCTCCTACACTGTTGGTGGGAATGTAAACTGGTGCAGCCCCTCTGGAAACAGTGTGGAGGCTCCTCAAAAAAATTAGTAATAGAACCCCCATATGACCCAGCAATAGCACTGCTGGGAATTTACCCGAGGGATACAGGGGTGCTGATGCATAGGGGCACATGTACCCCAATGTTCATAGCAGCACTCTCAACAATAGCCAAAACATGGAAAGAGCCTCAATGTCCATCAACTGATGAATGGATTAAGATGTGGTATATTTATACAATGGAATACTACATGGCAATGAGAAAGAATGAAATATGGCCATGTGTAGCAACATGGATGGAACTTGAGAGTGTTATGCTGAGTGAAATAAGTCAGGCAGAGAAGGACAGCTACCATATGTTTGCACGTATAGGAGGATAAGGAGGAACTTAATGGAAGACCATGGGGGAGGAGAAGGGAAAAAGAGTTGAGGAGAGGGAGGGAGGCAAACCATGAGAGACTCTTGAATGCTGAGAACAAACTGAGGGCTGATGGGGTTAGGGGAGAGGTGAAGGGGGAGATGGGCATGGAGGAGGGCACTTGTGGGGATGAGCATTGGGTGTTATATGGAAACCAACTTGACAATAAACTATTAAAAAAATAAAAAGAATAAGAAAAGGTTAGAGACCATAATGTTTTAAAAGGTAAGGAAAAAAACTGGAAGAAAATTTAAGTGTCCATAATGTGTTTTACTGTATCTTGATTGTGGGAGCTTTTCTTCCCTCCTAAATATTTTCCAATTTTTAAGAACTAAATGGTGTAGGAGCATCTCTGTGGCTCAGTCGGTTAAGCATCCGACTTCAGCTCGGGTCATGATCTTGCAGTTTGCGGGTTAGAGTGCTGCATTGGGCTCTGTGCTGACAGCTCAGAGCCCGGAGCCTGCTTTGGATTCTGTGTCTCCCTCTCTCTCTGCTCCTCCCTCGCTCACGGTCTCTCTGTCTCTCAAAAATAAATAAACATTAAAAATTTTTTTAAAAGAATAAAATGGTATAATAGACTATACACAAACTGGGCAGCTGCCTGCCTCAAAATTCACTTAATTGGCTCTATCCCCTCGTTCTAGACCTCTGACCCAAGTGCCCCAAATCAGATTCCTTCTTCTGGGAATCTGAACGGTGACAAGAGAAAACCAGAACCTAGATATCATGGAAGACTCAGACGGAGCCCCATAGACTTCAATGGACCCCAGAGGCCATCGTCTTGGGGCTGACGGTTTGGCTCCTGCCTGCTGCTTGGTTTGTTCTTTGCTTCTTTAAGTCTAAGAGCTATTCACCCTCTAGTTTTTGTTATGGTTTTTGAGCCAGAGTTTGTTTCTATGGCGTACAACCTAAACAAATATAGTAGCTATATTACTTTTATAGTGGAAACAAATATAAAGATGCATCATTTGAATAATTTCATTTTAACAGGTTCACAGGTAATATTCTCCCTTAGGGTTGGCATGGGGGCTGGGGAGAGGCAGAAAATGGTTTCACTACCTCTGGTGCCACTACACCCCAGCATACTGAGGGAGGGGTATTGGGAAGCATGAGTGGCAGGTGGCATGGTCACCTACAGAACTGACTGCCACTTGACACTAATGAAGTGAACTGTGCCTCCAGCAGACAGCTAGCAGTAGGGGCAAAGTGTTCTGATGGATGAGATTCAACAATTCATATAAAAACTCTGTAAGGAGTGCTTGCCATGGGCTGGGCGCAGACAGAGCAAGACACCTGAATTGCTTCTGGCTCATCAACCCATAGCACCTTCTCCTTCACCTGCAGAGCAAGATTCCTAACCCAAGGGGCACCTAGGTGGTTCAGTCAGTTAAGCGTCCGGCTTCGGCTCAGGTCATTGACCTAACAATTCATGGGTTCAAGCCCCATGTCAGGCTCTGTGCTGACAGCTCAGAGCCTGGAGCCTGCTTTGGATTCTGTGTCTCTCTCTCTCACTACTCCTCCCCAGCTCACACTCTGACTCTCTCTCAAAAATAAATAAACATTAAAAAAAAAAGATGGCTAATCTGAAGGTTCACATTGGCTGAAGGAATCAGCTAAAAACTGCTTTTCAAAGGAAAAATAACAGATTTAGTTTAATGTTAAAAACTACCAGTCTCAGAACTAGTTATCCATTTTCATTAACTCCTTAATATAAAAGATTAAGTTGTTTAGATTTCTTATGAAAACTTTCAAACATACATGAAAGAATAGTACAATGACCTCCATAAATGCATCACCCAGATTTAACATTTATCATCAAGAGAACTTATTTTAATAACTCACCCAGTGTTTCATAAAATGCCGTTGAATTATCAGTGGGACATTCTTTAATTCTTCTAGTGTAAGCACTCCTTTTCTGCTGAGAATTCCCATTTCCTCTTGTTTCTGAGGCAGCTGTTTGCTGAGATAACCGGGAACTGCTTTTTTTGCCTTTACCATACCTTCTACCACTCAAATCTGCAGCCACTGGCATATAAGGATTGGTAGGGCCTTTACTGTTGGCACCAGTTTTCTGCTGAAACACCAAATTGTATTTATAAACCAAGTCCCATCGGGAGAAAATATGGACATGCTCCATCAGGTACCAGGGCCCCCCAGGTTGGTAGGGAAGCAACTGTCTCCAATAAGGTGGGCAAAACCCCACAAATAGAGTGCGCTGGGATAGAAGGAGGTGTGGCTTCCTCCTCAAGCTGCCTCACTGGCTGCTTTTTGGAGGACCTGGCAGCTTTATCTAATGACCTGAATAATTGCTGGCACAAAATAAGTGCTTAGGAAACATCTCGTGAATAAACAAATAAATGACCTTCCTGGAGATGACAACTTGTGGGTTCTTTTGTTTTGTTTTGAAATGTTTTTGTTTTCTCTTTCCTCGGTGACTAGAGACTCTAGGGATCTCTAAAGACCCTCGGGATCTTTTTTTTTTTTTTTAAGCTGTGCTCGAGCCCCATTTTCCTGACATATTCAACCAGAATCTCTGATGGAAGGAGTGGGAGAGCTCAGGCATTAATTACACTTTAAAAGTGTCGCACGCACATGATTCAAATATATACACTCGGGGCCAACAACCACGCCTCTAGTTCCTGCTTCTCAAACTTCAGTGTGCACACAAATCACCTGGGGGTCTTGCTAAAATGCAAATTCTGCCTCAGTGAGTCTGGTGTGGAACTCAAGACTGCATTTCTCAACAGCTTTCCTGCGGTGCTGCTGCTGGTCCGCGGACCCACTTTGAGTGGCAAGGACCTATCCCTCTCCTAATCAAGTACACAGCAGGCATTTGGCAGATGCTGCTTCTCTTCTGACGCCTAAGCAAATATGCAAATTACCATTTTCCAGGCAATATCATAATTTTACATTCAAATGTTTAGGGTGCAGTTTTTGTAGGATATAAAAGGAAATGTGAAAAATAAGCAGATTTGGTTTCAGACAGATGGTGCATGAGCTATCACTGAAATCAAGTAGTTCACCAGGAAAACATAAGCTCAGCTACAAATATTCTTGGCAGATAGTTTCCATAAACTCACTCCAGAGACGCAGGAGTGACTGTATGTGGCGAGAATAACATGGGGTTTTTAGAGAGGTGGGTAGAAATTAGAAATTGTTGAGTTAAATGCTTCTTCAGGAGAAGGCAATAGATATGACACTCTCCCTCTCCCCTACTGGCCTATTCGTGTTAAAAAATTTCTTATGAGGGGTGCCTGGGTGGCTCAGTCGGTTAGGCATCCAACTTCAGATTGGGTCATGATTCAGATGGAGTCAGTCTGTGAGTTGAAGCTCCAAGTCGGGCTCTGTGCTGACAGCTAGGAGCCTGGAACCTGCTTCAGGTCTGTCTCGGCCTCTCTGCCCCTCCTCTGCTCATGTGCTCTCTCTCTCAAATATAAAATTAAACATTAAAAAAAAAAATCTCGAATGCACTTTGAAGATAGAATGGATGAGAGAAAAGCCAGATTCCTGTTTACTTTGTAACTATGGAAAGTATGACATATCTCTGATGCCTTAACCTTGTGACATGCATGATTTTCACCAGGTCCTGGCATCACTGAAAGCGAACAAGTACCTGTGCCATCCGTAAGTACCATTAGTACTGCTCAGCAGCACCACAGTCTACTCTGTTCTGTGCTACTCAGCGGGATACTGAGAAAGATTTGCCAAATATCTACACAGTGAAACTGTGTTCTAGTATACCCCGTGGCTTGAAATATACTGATTGTAACACTCCATTTGATTGCTTTTATCTTTAGGGTATCCGTATGAAGGATAAATGTTGAAGAGTGAAATAAACAGGCACAAGGGCACCTGGGGGGCTCAGTCGGTTAAGCGTCCGACTTTGGCTCAGGTCATGATCTCATGGTTTGTGGGTTTGAGCCCCGCATTGGGCTCTGTGCTGACAGCTAGCTCAGAGCCTGGAGCCTGTTTCAGATTCTGTGTCTCCCTCTCTCTCTGACCCTCCCCTGCTCATGCTGTCTCTCTCTCTCTCTCTCTCAGAAATAAATAAAACATTAAAAATTAAAAAAAAAAAAAAACAGGCACAGAACATACACTGCCCCTAAATTAAATAAACAAGAATTTGAGCACACAGCATAAAGATCCTGTGTGTCATGCTATCCACTCTGGAATTGTATACAGTAAGCACTTACACAGCAGTGACCATATTTCAATAAAAAAGAACTTACTGGTGTTGTGTTGGCTTCGGAACGCAAAGAGTAGATCAGAGAATTGATATCGGCAATACAGGCTTGCCAGTCTTTTCCATATTCACGCAAATCATAGTTGGGAAATACTGATGCCAGATATTCTGCAAACAGCAGAAAGCATTCATGAAAATTAAAAAAAAAATTTGTCAAAGAACTGACAAGACATTTTTTATTTAAAATACTGAAATTTTCTATTTTGAATTGTCGTCTCTTCTCTCTTGCTGAGAGTTTAGAAATTCTGCCCAAAGAGGATGCTTTGCTGAATACCTCACTTCTTCTAATGTACAATTCCCTATAAAACACTGACCTAGGGAGCCTCTAACAAGATTTTGGTGCTTTTATTAAATTAATGAGAACACATACTACATTTTATCTCAGCCAAAAGGTTGAGAAGTTACGAGGTTTGGGTGCTTTTTTAAAAAAAAGTGTGGGGGAGCCTGGGTGGCTCAGTTGGTTGAGCATCCGACTCCTGATTTTGGCTCAGATGATGATCTCACCGTCATGAGATAGAGCTTGGCTTCAGGCTCTGTGCTGGGTGTGGAGCCTGCTTAAGATTCTCTCCTTCTCCCTCTGCCCCTCCTCAACTCACACACCTGCTCTCTCTCTCTCTTTTCCTCTCTCTCTCTAAAAAAATAAAATAAAAAATTTTTAAAGTATGTAACAGAAAGTCAACTATTTCTAGGTGCTAATGCCATTGAATAACCCTATGGATAAGTTAAAACTAAAAAGGAAGGCTGAAAATAAAATAAACAGAAAATCATGTTATTGCAAATATTATTACAACATAGTCTATTTGTGCATACTACATGTCTATCTTCCCTATAAACTATTCCCTCTCCCTAGAATACTCTTCCTATTTAGCTAAGGAATCCCCCCAAATCTAGCTCAAATGTTTTGTCCTTAGTAAGCCTTTCCCAATGCCCTCCAAGTATTTGCTTTGCTCTCTGAGCTTCTACAACATTACTGCCTAGATGAGAATTGATCTGTTTCCCTCGACAGTCCCTTTCTGGACTGTAAACTCCTTGTGGGCAGAAATACTTATTCATTGTTGTGGCCTGAGTGCCTATGAATTCTAGAACCTTCATACAAATTTCTGGAAGGCAGGAAGACAGGAAGGTAAAACGGATTAATCGTGACATTCTATTTCTGTGTTGCCAGTTACTAGCAGTGAAGTATATTTTATTCTCCTGCATTGGAGGGGGGGGTGTCTTTATTTTTTAGTACCAAGTTTCAACACTGAAGAACTAACTTCATTCTAGCCATAATCAACAATAATCAATACAGCCTGTCTTGTTCCATTAGTCTATGGACAAGTTTTACTTTTTACAAGCTGTTACCCATTACATAATATTACACTGGAAAATCTGGGTCAGACGGGTGAAAAAATAAACAGTTCTAAGATTTACACAGACTTCATCATTATCTCTTCAAGTGCCAATAACATTCATCAGATGACCAAATGATGATAAAATAAGATTCCGTAATGACTTTACATACCTCTTAATGCAGCCATTTTGTTTGGATCTAGAGGTGGGAGGCCTTGGGAATTGACACCTACCCAGCTGTTCATCAGAATTTCCTTGGAGAACAAAATATGAATCAGGTAGCGGACTGCATACCTAGGACTGGCCTTCTTTTGTGCAACCAGCAAATGAGCATCAAGCACCTTGACTTCCCTTTTTGGATCACCAAGATACCCTTTTAAAACAGAGAGAAAAAGTAAAATCTTTAGTTTTTTTCATGCAAGGCTACTATGAAAGTGCCCAAGAAAAGTAAACTAATTGATTTCTAATTCACTAATTTCTACTTGGGTGAATTTTTTTCTATACTTCTCTTTTCCTTAAATGAGTCTGTTTGATGCCATCTGCATAACAGTATTTTTCACCATTGCTAATCTTGAATTTTCTGTACTTGAACTAATTGTTTCATTGTCTTGAATAAATTCAGTTCTTGGGCCAAAGATGCATATGTAAACATGTTGCTCTGAGATCACACTGCTCCCTTTTACAGTCTAAAAGTACACTTAGAGGTATATTCCTGAGTGAGTATATGTCCCCTGAAAATAATTTGGAAAGAATGGGTGGGCATAATTAAGAAAATTTTAAGGGTCGCCTGTGTGGCTCAGTCAGTTAAGCATCCAACTTCGGCTCAGGTCATGATCTCGCAGTTCTTGGGTTCGAGTCCTGTGTCAGGCACTGCTTCGGATTCTGAGTCTCCCTCTTCCTCTGCTTCTCCCCTTCCTCTCTCTCAAAAATAAAAATAAACATTAAAAAATAATAATACAAATTTTAAATAGCTAGCATTTATTAACTACTATATATCAGGCACTATGCTAAATATTTTGCATCTATAAGCTCAGTTTTATCATCCTAATGACATCTGCCCACTTAAAAGATGAGGAAACTGAGGCCCACAGAAGGTAAGTTATTTGAACAAGATCACAGAGACAATTTTTAAATCTGTTTATAAGCCAAGTGCTCTGAACCATTAATCTGCTAATGTCTTCCATTCGTTTTTCTATATCTTGTTTTTAAACACAAAATTGAAATAATACTTCATTTATAGTCTGAATTCTGCTTTTTCAGTTATTTTGAACATGTCTCCATTTTCTTTAGGTTTTTTTTTTTTCAAGTCTGCATCTGCATTCTTATCTTCATGATTTTCCTGACAGGTGACATTCATGTTGGACTTGAGTTCTGAGCATTGCATTAAGAGCTTTAAATCAATAATTCCATTTGATCCTCACAATTCTATGAAATAGGTACCATAATTTTTGTCACTTCACAGATGCAGAAACCAATACTTAGGTTACAGAGTGGGTGAAGCTCACATGGTTAGTAAGACCTAGAAATGGGACGTGAACCCAAGCAATCTGACTCGGGAGCCCATGCTCTTAACTACGATGCTTTACTGCTTCATATACATCCATGGATATACCAGAAGTCACTTCACTAATTCCCTATGGCTGCTTATTTGGCTGTTTCCAATTGTTCATGATTCTCTAAAGAACGTTCCTGTACCAGAGTTTAAATATAAATCTTTTTTTATAAATTAAATCTTCAGATAGAAGTGGGATGACTGAGTCAATTGGCATAAATACTTTTATGGATTTTTATAGAAATTACCCTTTAAAAAGTTTTCACCAGTGTATACTTCTAACAACAGCATATCACAGTGCCCATTTAGTAACAGAGAGCACAATTTTGGAACTTTATTCTAGTTTGGCTAACAAAACAATTTAAAAGACAAGCATCTCCTCTAAGACAGGAGTCAGCAAACTACAGTCCACAGGACAATCTCACTACCATTTTTCTTTTCTGTTTAACAATATGCTGATTTATTTCTTTTTTTCTTTTTTTTTAATAGTTTATTGTCAAATTGGTTTCCATATAACACCCAGTGCTCATCCCAACAAGCGCCCTCCTCCATGCTCATCACCCCCCCTTCCCCTCCCTCCCACCCCCATCAGTCCTCAGTTTGTTCTCAGCATTCAAGAGTCTCTCATGGTTTGCCTCCCTCCCTCTCCCCAACTATTTTTCCCCTTGTCCTCCTCCATGGTCCTCCGTTAAGTTCCTCCTAATCCTCCTATATGTGCAAACATATGGTAGCTGTCCTTCTCTGCCTGACTTATTTCGCTCAGCATAACACCCTCAAGTTCCATCCATGTTGCTACACATGGCCAGATGTCATTCTTTCTCATTGCCATGTAGTATTCCATCGTATAAATATACCACATCTTCTTGATCCATTTGTCAGTTGATGGACATTGAGGCTCTTTCCATGGTTTGGCTATTGTTGAGAGTGCTGCTATGAACATTGGGGTACATGTGCCCCTATGCATCAGCACTCCTGTATCCCTCGGGTAAATTCCCAGCAGTGCTATTGCTGGGTCATAGGGGAGTTCTATTGTGGATTTTTTGAGGCGCCTGAGATAAAGGGCTAGTATCCAAAATCTATAAGGAACTGACCAAACTCCATACCCGAAAAACAAATAATCCAGTGAAGAAATGAGCAGAAGTCATGAACAGACACTTCTCCAAAGAGGACATCCAGATGGCCAACAGACACATGAAACGATGCTCATCATCCCTCATTATCAGAGAAATACAAATCAAAACCACACTGACATACCACCTCACACCAGTCAGAGTGGCTAAAATGAGCAAATCAGAGGAATCTAGATGCTGGCGAGGATGTGGAGAAATGGGCACCCTCCTACACTGTTGGTGGGAACGTACACTGGTGCAGCTCACTACCATTTTTTTGTAAATCAAGTTGTATTGGCACATAGGCACACTCATTCATCTACCTACATCTGTGGCTGCCTTCTTGCTACAGCAGCAGAGTTGAGTAGTTGTGACAGACACCAGATGGCTCACAAAGACTAAAATAGTTACTATCTAGCCCTTTACACAAAAAGTTTGCTGAGCCCTGTGCTAGAATATTAATAAGAGATTAGCTACTTAGAAGTAGAGACACAAAGGAACTATAAAATATTAGGAAGGTTTGCCCTTAGAAACCATGGAACTTAGGGTCACCTCAACTCTGCCACTGTGGCTTGGCAGGCAGTAGAGGAGACTGTTAAAAAATATGAGCTTTGGGGTACCCAGGTGGCTCAGTCAGTTGAGTGTCTGACTTCAGCTCAGGTCATGACCTCACAGTTTGTGGGTTGGTGGGTTCGAGTTCCCCGTGCTGATAGCTCAGAGCCTGGAGCCTGCTTTGGATTCTGTGTCTCCCTCTCTCTTTGCCCCTCCCCCGCTGCACTCTATCTCTTTCTCTCAAAAATGAATAAACACTAAAAATTTTTTAAAAGTTAAAAAAAATTTTTTTTTAAATTTGTTTGAGAGACAGAGCATGAGTGGGGGGTAGGCAGAGAGAGAGGGAGACACAGAATCTGAAACAGGCTCCAGGCTCTGAGCTGTAAGCACAGAACCCGATGCGGGGCTCAAACCCACGAACCTTGAGATCATGACCTGAGCCGAAGTCAGACGCTTAACCGACTGAGCCACCCAGGCGCCCCTAAAAATTTTTTAAAAAAAGAAATATGAGTTTTAAAGGCAGAGAGACCTGAGTTATAGTTCCAGAACTGCCACTAACTCAAAGGTCTAAGACTTTGAGAAAGGAAGTAATAAAAATACCTACATATGGAGTTATCTGAATGTTAAAGGAGAAGAGACATGTCAGTTGATTAGCACAGTGCCTTGCACACACTCAATAAATGTTAGCCATTATTATTAATATAACCTAAAACCAACCCTTAAAATAGGAAACAAAAACCTTCCATTAGTCCATATCAAGAATGTTGAAGGGGGCACCTGGCTGGCTCAGTCGGTTGCTCATGACTTCAGCTCAGGTCATGGTATCATGGTTCATGAGTTTGAGCCCCACATCAGGCTCAGTGCAGAGCTCGCTTCAGATTCTCTGTCCCCTTCGCTCTCTGCCCCTCCCCCACTCATGTGCTTTTTCTCAATAATAAATAAAATATTTAAAAAAAGAAAGTTGAAGAATATCGGTTAAATGGTGCTACCTGTAATATGTGTCATTTCACACTCACCAAAATTGTATGGGATGCAGAAAGATGATGAGTTAGAAACTTGGCTATTGTTGGGGCGCCTGGGTGGCTCAGTCGGTTAAGCGTCCAACTTCGGCTCAGGTCATGGTCTCACGGTTCGTGGGTTCAAGCCCCATGTCGGGCTCTGTGCTGACAGCTAGCTCAGAGCCTGGAGCCTGTTTCAGATTCTGTATCTCCCTCTTTCTCTGACCCTCCCCTGCTCACTCTGTCTCTCTCTCTCTCTCTCTCTCTCTCAGAAATAAATAAAACATTAAAAAAAATTTTTTTAAACTTGGCTATTGTCATGTTCTTATATAATTGAGTAAGGGCTGTTTTCCATGACATTTTCTGCTTTTACCAATATTTCTATAGGTTAAAGTGCTGAAAGAAAAGAACTCTCAATAGCAAATTCGTTATCCAGCAAACTATCCTTCAGGTATGAAGGGGAAATAAACACATTCTCAGACAAAGAAAACTGAAAGTATTTATCACTAACAGACCTACTCTTAAAGAATGGCTAAGGAAGATCATCAAACAGAAAGGTTATGATGAGAGAAGGACTCTTGGAGCATCAGAAAGGAAATAAAGAACAACAGAAAGAGCAGAGATATGCATGCTGAGAAACTTGACCATTCATTCAATATAAAATGGAACAGCTACACTAGAAAACAGTTTGGCAGTTTCTTATAAAACTAAATTTTCAATGGGGCGCCTAGGTGGCTTAGTCGGTTAAGCGTCCGACTTTCGCTTAGGTCATGATCTCTCGGTTCGTGGGTCCGAGCCCCGCGTTGGGCTCTGTGCTGACTGCCAGCTCGGAGCCTGGAGCCTATTTCAGAGTCTGTATCTCCCTCTCTCTCTGACCCTCCGTTGCTCACGCTGTCTCTCTCTCTCTCTCCTAGAAATAAATCAAAATATTTAAAAAAAAAACCTAAATTTTCAATTACCACATGACATAATAATTTCACTCTCGGGCATTTATCCCAGAGAAGTAAAAGCTCATGATATGACACAAAAACCTGCACATGAGTGTTCTTAGCTTCATTCATAATAGCCAAAACTGTGAACGACCCAGATGTCCTTCAACAAGTGAATGGTTAAAGAAACCATGGTAAATACAATACCATAGATTATTATTCAATAATTAAAAGAAATGAAGAACAGAAGAGGCAGAGATATGGGTAAATAAGTACGATCATGAGTTTTGTAAACCATATGTGACAACTGAAACAAAGATGAAAACACCATCTGACATCCAAGACAATGACAATTCAAATGAGGAGGGCAGGGGTGCCTGGGTGACTCAGTTGATGTCATGTCCGACTTCAGTTCAGGTCATGATCTCACGTCTCATGAGTTCAAGTTCCACATTGGGCAGGCTGGAGCCTGCTTCAGATTCTGTGTCTTCCTCTCTCTCAGCCCCTTCCCCACTCACACTCTGTCTCTCTCTCAAAAATAAACATTAAAAAAAATTTTTTTTAATGAGGAGGGCAAAGGAAACTAGTGGAATTAAAGTTTCAACATTTCATTCCAAGTGGTAAAATGCTGATACCAGTAGACTGTGATAAGTCACGTACAAATATAGTAACCCCAGAGCAATCACTAAGAAAACTATATATAGCAACATATTCAAAAACATAAATAAGTCAAGATAGACTCCTAGAAAATGTTCAGGTAAGCCACAGGAAGGCAAAAAAAGATAAACAAAAAAAGAATGAGGGGGTGCCTGGCTAGCTCAGTCAGTAGAGCATGCAACCCTTGGTCTCAGGCTGGCGATTTCGAGCCCCCCGTTGGGTGTAGAGACTACTTAAAAAAATAAATAAATAAAGTTTAAAAAAATAATGAGAGTGGGGTGCCTGGGTGGCTTAGTCGGTTAAGCGTCCAACTTTGGCTCAGGTCATGATCTCACGGTTTGTGGGTTCGAGCCCCGCATCAGGCTCTGTGCTGACAGCTAGCTCAGAGCCTGGAGCCTGCTTCAGATTCTGTGTCTCCCTTTCTCTCTGACCCTCCCCTGCTCTCTCTCTCTCTCTCAGAAATAAATAAAACATTAAAAAATTTAAAAACATAAAATAAATTAAAAAATAATGAGAAAATAGGAAAGAAAAAGAAAAATAATAAAATGGTACACTTAGGTCTATGATATCAATAATTATCTTTAATGAAAATAACCTAACCTTATCAATTAAATGGCAGCAACTGGTAAAGTAGATTAAAAAAATATCAACTATGTGCTGTTTACAAGCAACTAAAAGTTCAATTACATAGGTAGATTGAAAATAAACAGAAGGAAAAGCATACATATACCATGCAAACATTAATCCAAAAAAAAAAAAAACTAGCTGTACTGACAACAAATAAAGTAGACTTGAGAGCAAAGAAAGTTACTAAAAACAAATAAAGATGAAAAGCCCAACCCCGAGGAAGACAATCATTCTCAACATACCAAATGACAAAGTCTCAAAATACATGAAGCAAAAATGGAAAGGACTAAAAGGAGAAATAATCAAATCCATAATTATAGTTCTGGACCTCACACACTCCTCTCTCTCTCAGGAACTGATGGAACAACCAAACCAAAAATTAGCAAGGATGCAGAAGATCTCAACAACACAGTCAACCAACAGGATTCTCATCATAGAGCATTCCACCCAACAAAACCAGAATATATATTTTTTTCAAATGCCTACAGAGCATTTACCAACACAAACCACATCCTAGGCCAGAGGAAAAAAATCTCAACAAATTTAAAAGAAAAGAAATCTTACAGAGTATATTTTTTGACCATAATAGAATCAAACTAGAAATCAATAATAGAAAGACAAGAAGAAAATCTTTAAACACTTGGAAATTGAACAGCATACTTATAAATAATAGATGTATCAAATAGAAAGTTTTCAAAGAAATAATAAATTAATAAAATACATAGGACTTAATGAAATTATAACACATCAAAATATATGGGATGTAACTAAGCCAGTACTGAAAGTGAAATTTATAGCCCTAAATGCTTATAATAGAAAATAAGACAGTTCTAAATTTATAATGTAAGTTCCTACACCAAAAACTAAGAAATGAAGAGTAAAATAAACCCAAAATAAGAAAAAAGAATGCAATAATAAAGAACTGAAATCAGGCGCCTGGGTGGCTCAGTCAGTTATGTGTCCAACTCTTGATTTCAGCTCAGGTCATGATCTGCTGGTTCATGAGTTTGAGCCCCGCATCAGGTTCTGTGCTGACAGCTCAGAGCCTGGAGGCTGCTTCAGATTCTGTGTCTCCTTCTCTCTCTGTTCTTCCCCTGCTCAGACATGCTGTTTTTCTCCCCCCCCCCCACCAAAATAAATAAACTTTAAAAAAAGAACGGAAATCAATGAAACTGAAAATATGAAAACAATAGGAAATCAATTAAGCAAACAGCTGGTGCCTCAAAAAGATTAATAAAGCTACTAAACTTCTAAAATGAAAAACAAATGACACAAATCATTAATATCAGGAATGAAGCAAGTTATCAGTAGAGATACAGCAGCCATCAAAGGATAATAGGGAATACTGCAAACCACTTTACATTCATAAATTTGGTAACTTAGAAGAGTTAAATCCATTCCTCCAAAATTACAAATACTAAAACTCAACCAAGATGACAGAGATAACCTAGATAGCCCTATAACCATCAAAGACACTAAATTTGCAATTAAAAGCCTTCTGAAAGGGTGCCTGAGTGGCTCAGTTGGTTAAACGTCTGACTTTGGCTCAGGTCATGATTTAACAGTTCATGAGTTTGAGCCCCACATTGGGCTCCATGCTGGCAGCACAGAGCCTGCTTGGAATTCTCGCTCTCTCCTCTCTCTCTGTTTCTCCCTGCTCACACTTTCTCTCTCTCTCAAAATAAATAAATAAAAACTTAAAAAAAAAATCCTTCTGAAAAGGAATCTACCAGTGCAGATGATTTTACTGGAGATGTTTACCAAACATCAAAAACAATTAACACCAATATACTCTTTCATAAAATAGTATAAAATTATAAAGTGGGAGAGAATACATTAGCCCTTGAATGGGTTAGAGATGAAGTCAGGGAAGGAATGACATTATGACATGCTTATAAACAGGCAACAGGAGGTAACTGGACAGAACTGTATGAACTGCAGTGGTAAATACCTAAACCTAAACATGTCACAAAAGTGCAGAAAACTAAACACACACACACACACACACACACACACACACACACACAGGAATATAAGTAAAGCTGGGGACATCTGAATAGATGAGTAGATTGTATTTATGTTAAAATACTAGTTATGATGTTTTACTATATTTTTGTAAAATATTAGCACTGGGAGAAATTTTTGTTAAGGATACACAAGGTATCTCTGTTGTTTGGATGAGCACTGGGTGTTATATGTAAGCAATGAATTACTAAATTCTGCTCCTGAAACCATTATTACACTATATGCTGACTAGCTTGGATTTAAATAAAATTTTTAGAGGCATCTGAGTGGCTCAGTTGGTTAAGCATTCTGACTTTGGCTCAGGTCATGATCTGATGGTCTGTGAGTTTAAGCCCAACATCGGGCTCTGTGCTGACAGCTCAGAGCCTGGAGCCTGTTTTGGATTTTGTGTCTCCCTCTCTCTCTGCCACTCTGCTGCTCACACTCTGTCTCTCTCTCTCAAAAATAAATAATCATTAAAAAAATTTTCAGGTACTTGGGTGACTCAGTCGGTTAAACGTCCGACTTTGGCTCAGGTCATGATCTCAGGCTCATGAGTTTGAGCCCCACGTCGGGCTCTGTGCTGACCGCTCAGAGCCTTGAGCCTGCTTCAGATTCTGTGTCTCCCTCTCTCTCTCTGCTCCTTCCCTGCTCACGCTGTGTTTCTCTCTCTCTCAAGAGATAAATAAACATTAAAAAATATTTTTAAAAAATAAATCGGTTCACAAAACTATCAAAAAAAATAAAAAAAATTTTAAAAGATGAAATAAATAAATAAAAACAAATTCTAAAATAAAATCTAAAGTAAAAAAAGGACCTCTTCTATATTATTTCATGCACCTACATGTGATTCTGAAATATCTCCAAATGAAAACTTTCATTTTGAAAAAGCTATCACAAAGAATTCATATTAAGAATATTGATAAAACGGGGCACCTGGGTGGCTTAGTCGGTTAAGCGGCCGACTTTCGCTTAGGTCATGATCTCGCGGTTCATGGGTTCGAGCCCCGTATCAGGCTCTGTGCTGACTGCCAGCTCAGAGCCTGGAGCCTGTTTCAGAGTCTGTGTCTCCCTCTCTCTCTGACCCTCCCCTGCTCACGCTGTCTCTCTCTCTCTCTTAGAAATAAATAAAACATTAAAAAAAAAAGAATATTGATAAAACTAAATTAGAGAGTACTACTTATAATATGTATTATTTCAAACTAATCAAAACCAGGAGTGAGGAAGAAAGACTCTGCATCAGTGTCTTGGCCGCTATCATTTTCCATTAAACTTGAGTAATTCATTGTCTCAGAACTCATTTCTGTGCTAGATTCTGTTTGAATAACATTTTGATTAATAAAACATTTTCAGGTGCTGAGAGACAAGAAATCTCAAGAGTGATTTTTATATCAGGCAAAACTACCCTCCAAGAATGAGGGAGAAATAAAGACATCCTCAGACATAGGAAAAAAATTTTTTAAAAATTGTTGCTGGCTGACTTAGCCTTAAAACATGGCTAAAGGAAAATCTGATCAAAAGAATATGATGAAGGACAGAGTCTCGAAGTACAAAGAAGGAAGAAAGAACAAAACAAAGAGCAAAATTATTCATGCAGATCACTTGTATATTGCTGGTGGGAATAGAGGAGGGTGTAGCTACACTGGAAAGCAGTTCAGCAGTTGTTGTTTTTTTTTTTTTTAAACTCAATTTACTGTTACCATAGGACCCAGCAACTGTGCTCTTGGGCTTTATCTCAGAGAAATGAAAACTGATGTTCACACTGAAACCTGTACACAAGTGTTCACAGCAGCTTTATACCTAATAACCCAAAACTGGAAACAACCCAGACATCATTCAACCAGTGAGCAGATAAATCCTGGGACACCCATACTGTGGACTAGTTCTCGGCAATAAAAAAGAAAAAATTAATGATACACGCAGCAACTTAAATGAAGCTCCAGGGAATTATGCTGAATGAAAAAAAAAAAAAGGCCATCCCCAAGCATCACATATTATATGAATCTATTTATATAAAACTCTTGAAAATGACAAAATGACAAAGGAGAAGAGAGGGTAGGGGTAAGAGAGTAGGAGGAGAAAAGCAGGTACAAGTTTAAAAGGCAATAGATGGGGCTCCTGGGTGGCTCAGTCGGTTGGGGGTCCGACTTTGGCTCAGGTCATGATCTCATGGTCTGTGAGTTCGAGCCCCACCTCAGGCTCTGTGCTGACAACTCGGAGCCTGGAGCCTGCTTTGGATTCTATGTCTCCATCTCTCTCTGCCCCTCGCCTGCTCACTCTCTGTCTCTCTCAAAAATAAATAAACATTAAAAACAATTTTTTTAATAAAAAAATAAAATAAAAGGCAATAGATGATGGAAAACTACTCACGTCATGAAATTACATAATATAAAACTGAATACACATACACACACAAACATAAATCTACTCACAAATACAAATAAAATTGAGAATATCTCAATAAAATCTGTGGATTATATCAGTGTCTATATACTGGCTGTGATATTATAGTTTTGTCAGATGGTGTCATTGGGGGAAACTGGGTAAAATGTACACAAGATCTCTCTGACAACTGCATGGGCAGCTAAAATTTTCACAATATAAAACTTCTAATTCTTTAATTAATTAATTTTAAGTAATTTTTAATTAGGAGAAGCTACCAGTAGGTGACATATAGTGCATTAAGGAATCTAGATTAAACAGTGCTACCTGTAATATGTATCATTTAAACTCACCAAAACTGGAAGGGGTGAAGAAATGTGCTAAAGTATCTTGACCACTGTCATTTTCCTGTAAAGGTAGGCAACTTGTCGTCTTAGTGCTATCTTCCAGTGTGGTTTCTTCTTTGATCGTCATTTCTATAAGAACAACATTTTATAAGGACATCATTTCTATAAGGACTACCAACCTCATGTTCCATAGTCAATGAAACTATCCTTCTGTAATACAGCAAAAATAAAGATATTTACATACAGAGGAAAACCAGAGGCATTTGTCACTGACTTCCGTTCAAAAATGGCTAAAGGAAACTCTTCTTACAGAAAGAGCATAAAAGAAAGAACTGTGGAGCATGAAGGAGGAGAGAGAACAATGGAAAGAGCAGAAATCTGGATGCAGAGTGACTGGATCACTCGTACACTGCTGGCAGGAATGGAAAATCGTATAGCTACACTGGAAAGCAGTTTGTCAGTTTCTTATACAACTAAGGATGCAATTACCAAAGGACCCAGAAGGTGCACTCTTGGGCATTCACCCCAGAGAAATAAAAACTTATGTGAGAGAGTGAAATGAATGAAATGAAGCAAAGCTAAAAATGATAAACAAGTATTCATAGCAGCTTTACCCCTAACAGCTAAAAACAGGAAACCCAGAGGTTTTTAACAGCTAAGTAAATCACGGGGTATCCATACACTGGAATAGTACGCAGCAACAAAAAAGAAGGAACGACTGACACTCGCAGCAACAGGAGCAGCTCTCCAGGGAATTGTAATTCCTGATCGGCAACTCCTGATTGCCAGCAATGAGAGAAAGGGCAGGGCATGGAATTGGGGAGAAAAGTCCTCTGGAGGGAGGTGTGTGTGGTTAAAAAAGAGCAACATGAGGGAAAACAGCGGTGACGGAACTGTTTCAGGGCTTCCCTGTGGCAGAAGATACATGAACCTAAGCACATGATAATGTTATATAGAACTAAATACACAGGTGCAAAACTGACACCAGTGACATCTCAATTGCATCTGCTGGTATCTCTGCAAGTATCAATACCTTGGTTGTGATAATTTGCTACTGTTTTGCAAGATGTTACCACTGGGTAAAACTGGAGAATGGGAACGCAGGACCTCTCTGTATTATTTTTTATAACTGCATGTGCAGCTAAATTTTTCTGAAAATAAAAACTTCATTAGAAGAAGCTACCACCAGGGTGCCTAGGTAATCCAGTCATTTGAGCGTCCGACTTTGGCTCAGGTTGTGATCTCAGTTCATTCGTGAGTTCAAGCCCCACATTGGGTTCTCTGCTGTCAGTGCAGAGCCTGCTTTGGATCCTCTACCCCCCATCACACCTTAGCCCTGTGAGCACATGTACATGTTTCTCTCTCTCTCTCAAAAATAAAATATAAACAAAAAAATTTTTAATATTAAAAAAAAGAAAAAGCTGCCACTATCTCACACTAAGGATGTTGATGAACCTAGGTTAAATATATTACTGTATCGAATGTATCATGTCAAATTCACTAAAACCTGGAGGAATGTAGCAACATAATGGGGAAAAGTCTTAGCCCCTTTGTTCTCCAATAAAAGAGGATAACTTATTGTCTCAGGGCTCTCTTCTAGGCTGGCTTGAGCCTTTATCAATATTTCTATAAATAAAATATTTTCAGGTACTGAAAGATAAGAAATCTCAACCATGAAGTCTATATCAGGCCAAATTGTCCTTTGATAATGAAACAGATTCATGAGAACAGTAATGAATGAACCTGGAGGGCGTTATGCTAAGTGAAATAAGACAGACCATTAAAAAAGACAAATACTGCATGTTATCACTTATATGTGGACTCTAAAAAGAAAAAAAGTCAAACTCATAAAAACAGAGAGTAGCATAAATGAATGGTAGTTGCCAGGGGCCAGGGGTGGGGGGTGGTGAGTGAAATGGGGAGAGGCTGGAAAAAGGTATTAACTTTCAGTTATAAGATAAATAAAGTCTGAGGATCTAATGTACAGCTGATAATACTGGACCATATAACTAAAATTTGCTTAGAGTGTAGAACTTAAGCATTCTCACTACACACACACACACACACAAAAGGTAAATATGTGAGATGATAGACATGCTAATTAACTCAATGGTGGGAATCATTTCACTATGTATATGTATATCAAATCACACTGTACACTTTATAAATATACTACAACTTTGTCAATTATACCTCAATAACACTGAAGACAAGAAACGAACCAACTGGTTTAAAAAAAAAGAATGAAGGGCAAATCATGACATTCTCACACAAAGCCAAAAGTATTTGCCACTAGCTGACTTACGTTTGAGAATGGCTAAGTGAAAATCTTCTATCCGAAAGAATGATCAAAAAAATTCTGGAGCATTAAAAAGGAAGAAATAAGGGTGCTAGGGTGGCTCAGCCAGTTAAGCATCCAAATCTTGATTTCGGCTCAGGTCATGATCTCATGGTTCATGAGTTCGAGCCCCGCATTGGGCTCTGCGCTGACAGCACAGAGCCTGCTTGGGATTCTCTCTCTCTCTCTCTCTCTCTCTCTCTTTCTCTCTCTCTCTCTCTCTCTCCCTGCTCATGTGCATGAGCTTTCTCTCTCTCTCAAAATAAATAAATAAACATTTAAATAAATAAATAAACAAAAAGGAAGAAGGAACAACGAAGGCAGCAGACATGTGGATGCAGAGAAACCGGATCACTCACACACTGCTCGTGCGGAAGTAAAACGATACCGCCTCTCTGAAAAACTGCAGTGGTTTCTTATAAAACTAAACATGCAATGATCATACAACCAAGCATTTGCAGTCTGGGGCATCTATCTAAGAGAAATCAAAACTTATGTTTACACAAAAACCTGTACATAAACAGTCACAGCAATCTTACTTGTAATCCTGAAAACTGGAAAAAAGTCCAGATGTTCAACGGTGAACCAATACACAAACCTTGGTACATCCATGCCATGGAATGGTACAGAGCAATAAAAAAGAAGGAAATGCTGATACATGCAATGAGTCAGATGACTCTCCCAGTCAGTTATGTTGAGATGGGTGTGGTTACAAAGAGGCAAAATGAAGCATCCTTATGGTGATGAAAATGTTCTGTATCTTGACCATGGTGGTGGACATTCAACCTACTCATGTGATAAAATCAAATAGAACTAAACACATACACAAAAGTCAATTTAATTAAACTGGGGAAGTCTCCATAGATCTGTGGATGATATCAATGTCAGTCTCCTGGTTGTGACATTCTACCATGGTCTTGCAATGCTATTGTTGGCCGAAATGGGTAAAGCAAAAACGAGATCTCTCATAAATGAAATAATAAATATTATTTCTTACAACTACATGGGTATCTCAAATTACCACAATATTAAAAGTGTAATTTCTTTTTTAAAAAAAGCTATCACTAGCTCACATGAAGGATGTTGATCGTTCTAAATTAAACAGTGCTACTTGAAATAAGTATTTCAAAGTAACCGAAATCCGGTGGGATGGACTGAGATAAAGAGGCAGGATCTGGGCCACTCTCATTTCCCAATGAAGTTGGGTAATACGCTGTCTCAGAACTGTTTTCCAGGCTGGTTTTTGCTTTTTCCGGCATTTCAACAAGTAAAACTTTCTCAAGTGCTGAAAGACAAGAACTCTCATCTGTGAATTCTATACTGAGTGAGATTATCTTTCAGGAAAGAAGGGGGAGATAAAGACATTCTCACACAAAAGAACATTTTTTTAAAAACTGTTCCTAGCAGATTTACTTGGAAAAGATAGCTAAAGGAAAATCTTCAAACAGAAAGGATATTATGGAGAAAGACTAATGGGGCATCGGTAAGAATGAAATAATAGAAAGATCAGAAATCTAGATGGGAAGAAACTGGATCACCTATACATTGCTATTGGGAATGTAAAATAGTACAGACTCTCTGGAAAACTGTTTGGCAGTTTTTATAAAACCAAACATGCTATTACCATAAGACCAAGCAGTTGCACTTACAGCATTCACGACAGAGAAATGAAAACTTGTATTTACACAAAAATCAGTACACGAATGTTCACAGCACCTTTACTTCTAGTATCCACAGACTTGGAAAGGAAAAAAATATTATGTCCTTCAATGTGTGAATGGTTTTAAAAAAAAAACTGTTGTGTATATACACCATAGGAAACTCTTCAGCAATAGATGAGAAATAGGGGCGCCTGGGTGGCTTAGTCGGTTAAGCGTCCGGCTTTTGCTTAGGTCATGATCTCACGGTTCCTGGGTTCGAGCCCCGCGTCGAGCTCTGTGCTGACTGCCAGCTCAGAGCCTGGAGCCTATTTCAGAGTCTGTGTCGCCCTCTCTCTCTGACCCTCCCCTGCTCACGCTGTCTCTCTCTCTCTCCTAGATATAAAAAAATAGATATATATTTAAAAAAATAGATGAGAAATAAAAACTTGTATTTACCCAAAAATGTGTACATGGATATTTATAACTGCTTTACTCCTAGTGGCCCAACACTGAAAAAAAAACAGATGCCCTTCAACAGGTGAACAGTTAAAATGTAGTATATCCATAGCACAGAATACTATTTTCAGCAACAATAGTAATCAACTATTGATACATGCAACAAACTGGATGAGTCTCCAAGCAATTAATCTGAGTAGGGGGCTTGGTGGGGAGCTAATCCCAAAAGGCTACCTCATATGTGACTCCACTTATAGAACAATCTGAAGAGACAAAATTATAGAAACAGAGGAAAGATCAGAGAAAGCCAGACATTGGGGATTGGTCTTGGGAGCAGGGAAGGTAGATGTGGTTGTAAAAGATGCAGTAAAAAGTGATCTCTAAGTGATGGAAATGATCCCTACATTGACTGTGGTGGTAGACATGCAAACTTACACATACAATAATATTACATAACACATACACACATATACACACACAGATGCAAGTAAAACTGGAGGCATCTCAGTAACACCTGTGAATTATATCATTGTCAATGTCTGGGTTGTAACACTGTACCATGGTTCTGCAAGGTGTTATCATTAGGGAAAATACATTAAGCATAAACGAATCACTCTGTATTATTTCTTACCACTGCACTGAATCTTAAGTCACATCAAAATTAAAATTTTCAGAAAGAACTGTAACTGGCTTGTATTAAGGATGTTGATGGATCTGGATTAAACAGTCATACACGCGATATGTATCATTTCAAACTCACCAAAATTGGGCTGGACTGGGAGAGATGAAGAGTCAGTATCGGAGTCCCTGGCACTTCCCAAAAAAACTGGGTAATAGGTGGTCTTGGAGCTGCCTTTGGAGCTGGTATCTGCATTTCCTGGCACTTCTAGAAGTATGAGCTTTCCAATTGCTGAAAGATAAGAACTCTCAACCATGAATTCTCCATGAGGTGAAACTATCCTTAAGGAAAAATGTGAAAGAAAGACATTTTGAAACACAGGAAAACTAAAAGAATCTGTCCCCAGCAGACTTACCTGTACAGAACGGCTAAAGTACAATCTTCAAACAGAAAGGAAATGATGAAAGAAGGAAATCTGGAGCATCACGAAGGAAGAAAGAACAATGAGAAGAACAGAAATGTGGATGCGGAGAAAGCGGATCACTCACACTTCGCTGGTGAGAATGCGAACTGGTACAGTCTCTCTGGAAAACTGACAGTTTCTTGTAAAACAACACATGCAATACCATAACACTCAACAACTGCACTCTTGGCATTCGTGACAGAAACAAAGCTTATATTTATACAAAAACCAGGACACGGATGTTCGTAGCAGCTTTACTCCTAATATCAAAAACTGGAAAAAAAGAAAAACCCAACAACTACTACTGCCCTTCAACAGGTGAACGGCTACAAACAACTATTGCACACTGCAACCATGGAAGACTATTCAGCACTAAAAAGGGAGAAAGTACTGATACATGCAACAACCTGAATGAATCCTCAGGGAATTGTGCCAACTGAAAAAAACAAATAATCTTCCGAGGTTACATCCCATAAGATTCTCTTTATTCAACACTCATGGAGGGACAAAATTATAGAGAGCAGTACTTGCTAGGGGTTAAAGAAATGGGCAATGGGGAAGGAAAGGGCAGCCTGAGGGAGGCAGATGTGGTTATAAAAGGGCTCGACGAGGCATCCTGATGGCGATGGATATGTTCTGTATCCTGACTGTGCTGGTGGACGTCAATTTGTATTAATTAGGTAGGAATAAATACAAATGCACACAAATCACCACAAGTACAACTGGACGCATTTCAGTAATATCTGTGTATTGTATTGATGTCAATACCCTGGTTGTGATATCATACTGTCATTCTGTAAGATGCTAACATTGGAAGAAATGGGTAAAGGATAAAATGAACGTCTTTATATTATTTCTTGCAAATATATGTGAATCTAAAATTGTTTCAAAATAAAAAGCTTAATTTAAAATATGAGCTACCTCTAGCTTCCATTAAGGATGTTGATGCATCTAGAGTAAACAGTGCTACTTGTAATATGTATTATTTGAAACTCACCAAAATTGGATGGGATAAAGACAGGTGAAGGACGCTGGACACTGTCATTTGCTGATGAAGTTGGGTAATTCATTGTCTTGGAGTCATTTTCCAGACTGGTTTCTGCTGTTACTGGAATTTATACAGAAAGGACATTTTTCAAATGCTTCAGAAAAGAACTCTCAACTGTTAATTCCATATGTAGCAAGACCATCCTTCATTAATGTACAGGAAATAAAGACATTCTCACATGAAGAAAAACTAAAAAGAACTTGTCCCTCACACACTTACCCTTAAAGAAAGGCCAAAAATATTCAAAATATTCCCAAAATATTCAAACAAGAAAGATATGAAGAAGGAATGGCTCCCTGAGCATCAAGAAGAAAGAAAAATGGAAAGAGAAAAAAACAGGCATACAGAGAAATTGTACCACTTATATATTACAGGTGTAAAGTCAAATGGCACAGCTCCTCTGAAAAAAAATTTTAACAGTCTCTTATAAAACTAAACATGAAACTATCATAGGACCCAGAACTGCCCTCTTGGGCATCCACCTCAAATGAATATAAACTTAAGTTTACACAAAAACCAGTATATGACTATTTGCAGAGTTTAACCTGTAATAGCCCAAAATTGGAAATATCCTGGATATCTTTCCATGAGTGAAGAGATAAACAGCCATACATACACCCATACCATGGGAGAGTAGTCAATAATAAAAAAGAAGAAACTATTGATACATGCAACAATTGGTATGAATCTCCAGGAAATTATGTTTAGGGGAAAAAAAAAAAGCTATGCCGAAAAGGTTATATGGTATTTGATTCCATTTAAATGACAATATTCAAGGGGCACCTCGGTGGCTCAGTCAGTTAAGCATCTGACTTTGGCTCAGGTCATGATCTCATGTCTCTCCTTCTGCCCCCTACCTGCTCGCTCGCTCTCTCTCTCTCTCTCTCTCAAAAATAAATAAACATTAAAAATGTTTTAATAAAATAAATAACAATATTTGAATGACAGAACTATAGAAAGCAAGATGAAGTCACTCCTTGCTAGTGTAGGAGGAAAAGGTGACCAGAGGGAGGTGGCTGTGGTTGTAAAGGGCAGTATGTGGCAACAGTGGGAGCTTTCTGGATCACAACTGTGATGATAAATAACACTCATGGGAATAACATTGCACAGAACTGAACACACACACACACGTGGATTTAATCAATGTCTATATCCTACTTGTGCTATTTTACTATAGTTTTATGAGAGGTAAATGGGTAAAACATAAATAGGATCTCTACATAATTTCTTTTTTAAAAATTTTTTTAATGTTTATTTTTGAGAGAGAGAGAGAGAGAGACAGAGTCTGAGCGGGGGAGGTGCAGAGAGAGAGGGAGACACAGAATCTAAAGCAGGCTCCAGGCTCTGCACTATCAGCACAGAGCCAGACACTGGGCTCAAACTCATGAACTGTGAGATCATGGCCTGAGCTGAAGTCCAACACTCAACCAACTGAGCCACCCAGGTGCCTCTCTACATAATTTCCTACAACCACACATGAATCTCCAATGATCTCAAAACAAAAAGCTTCATTAAAAAGAAGAGCTGGCACTGACTTGCATTAAGGATGCTGGTGAATCTAAATGGCATGACTTATCTATCATATGTGTCATTTCAAAATCACCAAAATTGGGAAGGATGAAAACAGATGAAGAGGCAGTATCTTGGCCGTTCTCATGTCCCAGTGAAGCTGGGTAATACACTGACTTAGCACTGTTTCCAAGGCTGGCTTCTGCTTCTGCTGGCATTTCTATAATAAAAAGTTTTCAATGGCTGTTATACAAGAACCTACATTCACGAGTTCTATACTGGGTAAAACTATCCGTCAGGAAAGAAGGGAAAATAAAGACATCTCGCACAAAGGAAAACCAAAAGATTTTGTCTCCAGAAGACTTACTTGTACAGAAAGGTTAAAGGAAAATCTTCTATCAGAAAGTATATGAGGAAAGAAAAAATCATGAAGCATCAGAAGAAAGAACAATGGAAAGGGCAGAAATATGGGTGGGAAGAAACTGGATCACTCATATGTAGCTGGCAGCAACATAAAATAGTACAGCTACACTGGAAAACAGGTCATTTCTTATAACACTGAACAGGCAAATAAATATAACCAAAAACCGCACTCCTGGGTACCCAAGTTCAAGAAATGAAAACCTCTATTTATCCAAAAACTTGTACATGATATTCACAGCAGCCTTACCCGTAATAGCCAAACACTGGGGGTGTGGGGTAACAAAAATTTTCTTCGACAGATGAGCCATTAAACTACAGCATACCTATACCATGGAAGAGTATTCAGCATGTAGTGATTATGCAACAACTTGCTTTAATTTCCAGGGACTTACCTGGGGTGAAAAAAACCAGTATTCAGGTTACACACCACATGCATCCAACTATATAACAATTTTGAAGTGACAAACTTTCAGAGATAGAGAATAGATCAGTGGTTGCCAAGAGCTGGGAAAAGGGGAACAGGGAGGGCAGGGCCACCAGAAGGTGACGGAAATGTTCTGTACCTTGACCACTGTGGTGGACCTGCACACCTCACGTGATAAAACTGCTGGGAACTAAATGCACAGACACACAGTGAAACCAAACTGGAGACAGCTGAATAAATCTATGGGTTACATCAGCATCAATACCCTGCCTGTGATATTTTACTGTAGTTTCACAAGATGTTACCTTTGAGGGAAATTGGGTAAGGGGTACCACTTGATTCTTTCTTACAACTACATGTGAATCTACAATTATCTCCTAAGACTTTTAATGTTAAAAATAGCTATAGCCAGCTATACTTCAATTTAAAAGTATAATTTAAAGCTAATTTAAAAAATAGCTATTGCTAGTTCGCATTAAGAATGTTTTTTAGGGGCAGCTGGGTAGCTCAGTCGGTTAAGTGTCTGCCTCTTGATCTCAGCTCAGGTCTTGATTGTAAGGTTGTGAGTTCAAGCCCCATGCTGGGTTCCATGCTGGGCATGGGCCTGCTTAAAATAATAATAATAATAATAATAATAATAAGGAATGCTTTTTAATCTAATTGAAAGGATGCTGTTTCTAATATGTGCCACTTCGAACTCACCAGAATTGGGAGGGATGCCGACAGCCAACGAGGCAGCATGTGGGCCCAGGCTGCCATTTCCAGGTAAAGTTGAACAGTGTGCCTCCTCAGGAAATTGAGCCAGACTGGGCTTTCCTTGTGACAGTTGGTTTGGATGTACTATTATAGGACACGGTGCAGATGGGTTCTCAGAGCTGGCACTTTCCATACGTTGGCTGACAATGTAGGAAAGGGCAGCAAGAGCAAGAGCTGGGTCACCCAGTATATGATCGGACTGTAATGAAAACGTGGAGACAATCTTGGGAGTTGGAGACAATCTCTGCGTGGGGTCTGGCTGCTGTGGCTCCGGGGACGCTGCTGCTGGAAGAGAAGCTCCCACAGGGTTGGCCGGGAGCTGGGTCTCCTGTTGGTCCTCTGGTACCGAGGGGCCCGTGGCTCCCTGGCCAGGGGAAGAGAACACAATGGGTTATGCTCTTTCCTTTTCTTCCTAGACTTGACTTTCTCCACGAGGTATTGAATTAAAACTGTTTTGTGTAAATCCAAAGAACCTCTAAAATCACACAAACCCATGATAGATAAATTGTGACAATAACAAGTAAAAAGCTGATAAACGCATGAACACCCTCTTTCCTGGCAACATTATTTTCTGTGGTTAAGGATAAATGCTGAGTTTTTATTATATGATTTCTATTCCTCTTCAACCCTACATTCTGAGTGGATTTATACATTACAGTTACAAACATAAAAATACTCAGTATCAAAATTTCTCAAACCTAAACTACAGCATTCCTCCAAGAGAGGTTTAATCTCCCATCTGCTTTTAGAGTAAGTATAAGTCAGCCTTGCTAGTCTAAGTCATTAGTTCTCTCTTACTTCTAATCAATTGGTATCCTTAGGAACTAGAGGTTTATCAGAGTACCCAAAATGTTTTTATGACACTTACACAGTTTGGCAACAGTGGTTTCTCCCAAGAAAGTTGCAATTTTGAGACGATTCTGCAAAGATGGTTTACCTGCTTATTTGTGTTTTCAATAAGTTCTTGCAAACCCTATTATAATACAAAAAGTATTTTAGCAGATCCTATTTCAAAAGAAAAGTAACACACAAGAAAATACCAGTAAGCCAAATTTTTATTGCTAGAAACAAAGAAAGCTCTCCAGCCATCACAAATGTCTTGTTTCCACTTGATGCCCAGTTTTGGTGACACAGAGATAAGGAGTACGCAACTATTCACACCGTATAGGCATTTTAAGAAGCTTTACTACCGGAAAGTAAATGTACTACCATTCTTATAAGGCACATTTAGGATGGAGTCATTTTATGTCAAGGAGAATGCTATTTCAGGAAAGAAATCTTCAAATCTGCTAAAAGGCCAAAGAGCCTCTTTGCATATAATGACGGCGCTGAACTCCTAGGCGGTGAGCATTCCACTCTGGAAAGAACAGTGAGCCAAATATAACAGATGTGACTTCTGGCTTCAAAGCATTTTTAAGTCAGGCAATCAACAATTAACCTTACAAAACCTTTGAGTGCATGTCCCCTGTAGCCAACCACGTACAGGACTGATAAAGCCTGACAATTCTTCAAATACACGCAAACGTCATTCAGGGAAACCATCTACTTAAGCCAGAGGCTGAAACCATTTCCCTACTCATTCATCCATCCATTCACACAAACGGTTATTGAGGGCCTACTACCTGTCAGAACGGCTTTGCTAGGTGCTGGAAACGTGGACAGAAAAGAGAAAACAAAACAAACAAGAAAACCACCAGATCCTGCCCTAAGAAACTCCCATTCTAGCTGGAGAGAGAGGATTTCAAAAACGTGCCGGGCAGCCCCGAGCAGTGGTTCTCAAAGTGTGGTCTCGGACCAGTAGCAGGGACGCGGCCTGCTGCCTCGTTGGAAATGCACCATCTCCCACCCCAGACGGGGAACTCAGAGTGGGGGCGGTGGTCTGTTTCCACAAGCCCTCCAGGGGGTTCTGCTGCATGATCCAGGGAGACCCCACTGGTCTATAGCACTGAGGTAAATAGCTCAGGCTCTAGGGGAACGCGCTTGGGTTCTGAGGCTTAGCAGCTGTGTGACCTCGCCCAAGTTGCTTAACTTCTCTGTGCTTCAGGTTCCTCAGTAGAGAATGGAGACGAGAAGGTCTCTCAGAGTTCCCTCGCGGACACAGAGGCGCTGTAGTATGACGTTAATACGAACGCAATCACAATACTACCTGCTGACTGGCCGGGGAGCGCCTAACCAGCCGCTAATATTCATATCGTTACTATACTCGGACGGCTATGGCACAGGTGAGAACGGGAGGCTACGTGCCCAGAAGAGCAAGAGCAGGCCCGCAGTCGTGGCGGGCTTTCCAGAGATGTCTACGCTGAGAACTGAAAGAGGAGCCGGTGATGACTAGGCAAAGATGCACGGAAGGGCATAGAGGGCAGAAGGAACAGCAGAGTCAAAACTACCCAGACAGAACACCAGAAGCCAGATGTTGGACAGTGAGCGTAAATGACGTGCAAGGAGCAGGGTTGGAAGGGAAGAGGAGGGAAAGGCGGGCGGGAAGGGGCCTGGGAGGCCCAAAGGAGAGGCTCTGCTGAGCTGCGGGAGGATGTGCGGAGAGCGAGTGATGCAGGCTGAGGCTGAAGGTACGGGAGGTGGTGACCGATGAAGGGAGGGGTCCCGGCACAGGGAAAGGGAGGGAAAGAGGCTCGGAGGCAGAAAACCCTACGGAGGGAGACGCCCCAGGACACATCCCAGGCCCCTCGGGCGGGGCGGGGCGGGGCGGGGGGGGGGGGGGGGGGGGGGGGGCGATTGCG